GATAACTAAGTCCTGAGGATGTAATGTACAATATGGTGATGAAAGTTAATAATACTGTGTTGTATATTTGAAAGTTGCTAAGAGAATAGATCTTAACTCATCACTAGGGGAAAAAATATTTGTAACTATGTGAGATGATGGGTGTTAACTAGACTTACTGTAATCATTTCTCAGTATATACAAATATCAAATCATTATGCTGTACACCTAAAACCAATGAAATGTTGTATGTTAATTATATCTCAATTAAAAAAAAAAAAGAAAAAGAAATTATGGTTGCCTTTTCCTGAGCAAGGGATTGGTATATGTGGGAACGGAACCACAGAAGCTTAAGAATGAATGGGTTTAGAGAAGTGGATAATTATTAGAAGTATGAAATTAAATCTCAATCCTATTTTCATATTAACTATTCCTGATGGCTAAGAGATGAGATGCAGCCTTGTCCTTCACATAGGAAAGTACCAAATCAAAACAAAATAAAACATAAATATTCTTAGCAGCTATTCATAATGGAGACAAGAGACAGTAACATAAAACTTTATGGTCATATAGAGGTTACTGGTTAAATGAATTATGCCATTTATATAGAAGACTACTGGACAGTTTTTTTAAATGATTATGTACAGCTATTGAGTAATTTAGAAAGATACAAGATCTTAGTAAGGGGAAAAGGCAAGATACAAATTGCATATATAATAAAAATTTTTAATGGATGTTTACTTACATTATATATCAGAAATAGGACTATTTAGAATAGTCATCTAACTGTTACCAGTGGTGGAGTTTTGATGATGTTAAGGAAGTTTTGCTAGTTATGTTTTAGATATGATAATGATATTATAGATTGAAGATAAAGGAAGCAGGGGGAATGCCTGATGCAGAAAAGTTAAACTTGGAAATGGAAGAACGCTCTTTCTTCTGAAAGTGTTGGAGAGCAGCTGAGGGTGAGGGAGAGATGACTGGAGTGGGTGGGAGTGGGGTGGGGAGGGATTTGGAATGGGAAATGGGTCATTTGAAGATTGTCTTGCTTTAAGCTCACCTGTTTAGTAGCAGTGATGCTAGAGAGACTGCATAGGAGGCACAGGGAGGGTAGTGAAGGTCTGGAGATGCCAATGAGGAGAACAGGAGGGAAGAGTCATCAGATAGCAGAGAGAACCCTGCAGATCCTGGCTACCCAGTGAGCACGTCCTATCATCAGTCTGTAATGGTGCCCCCAGGCTGAGTGGTAGAGAAGCCAAAATACCGGACTGTGCACGATCAGGATTGTCAGGGCAGAGACTTGCAAAGGATAGTGGGCAAGGGGGGTTAAGTAAGGGAGCTTGTAAAAGAATGTTCTGACAACTCATCATGGATTCCAGGCTGGAAAGAAAGCATGACCAAAGGCAGTCTTGAGAGTGGGGTGGGTTAACTGATTGAGAGAAAGTTTTCCTATCCAGGAAGAAAAGGTCCAGTGGAGGGAGGAAGTAAGAAAAATACAAAAATGAGAGACTGAATTGGGAGTCTCAAACACTGAACTGAAAATTTCAGAGGTAAGGGAGCTACAGGTGATGTTTAAAGTACTGGGGTGATGAGTGTATGGGAGTGAGGTGAGGGTCAGCCCTTGGACTTTGCAACATTCCAGGACAATGCTGGATAGGCCACGAGTTAGCTCAAGGACACTGAGTGATGGAGGATCTGACAGAAAAGCCTTTATAGCAAAAATTAAAACTTGAACTTAGAAAATTCAGAATCGTAGAATTAAAATTTAAGATTTCCTTGTACGTTTCTGTCACATGCTCTGTGTACATGTGTTTGTCTTTCTGTAGTTTTTCTTTTGAGATTTATCACGTGCAATTTCTTCTTTTTTTTTATAGGTCACTGGGAGATACGTTCTTTGTAGGTAACCAAACTATAGAGCCAAGGTGCTAGAAAGAACTAAGGAATCTTTCTTTATTCTGAAGTCGTTGTCCTCTAATAGTAGTAGTGGTTAGTAACAGCAGTAGTAGTTGTAGCAGTGGTAGAAGTAATAGCAGCAGTAAAATGATAGCCCGAAGAGAAGAAAAGTTTTCAACTTCCCGTGTGGTTACATCGGATGCAGCTTGTATACAAAATTATTACACATACTACTGTGGTGGTCACTGGTTTGCGATTACTCACAAATATTTCTAAGTGGTCTCAGTAAAACACAGGTCTTGGTCTGAGCTAGAGAATGAATGAATGAATGAAGCAGGAGGCGATAAAACAAGTTTCTTTCTTTTCGTGACCTTGTTTCACAAATAGAGGAACGTCACTCAAACACCATCCTGTGAGGGTCTTCGCAAGGCTCACAAATGGCTTTCCAGAAATTATTTCAAAATACAAAACAACAAAACAAAAAGCAAAAATACCAACCAACCCCCAAAACAGAAAACAAGGTAGAAGTTATCCAAGAAAGGTAAACAACAGTTACAGGCTATTTTCCAGATGAACTTTTGCAGCCTGTTTCACAATGGCTCATGAATCCACAGGTCATGTTTTCCCTTAATCTGAAATCCTTAGGGTGAGGGAGGCTGGCCTCTTAGCGCTCATTATTAGGCAGACTTTCAGTTCAGTGGATAATTTGCTAAGTGCTACGAGAAAGAAGTTGGTTGTAAACATCAATGTATCTTCTTCAGAACAAATACAAAAGTTTCTTCTTTCTGCAATAGGGAAAGGATTATTAGTAAATAGGGCTTCTTCCCCAGCTGCTAGTCAGATTCTGATTCTGACAGTTTTCTATTTTCATAAATCTTCACCAAACTCTTCACCCTAGTATAGGCTTAAATTTATGGATTAAAGGGATGGTGTGTGGCTGGAATGTGCAATGGAGTTGGAAATGCAGCTTTGGAAGAAAAGAGCTGGGTGAAATTAGAGTCAGAGCTCTGTGAATCCAAACAAATGCAACACATAGTATCTTTTTAAACTTGTTTGCAATTTGAGTTGGACTTCAGAT